AATGTTAATTCACTCCAGTAGACACTTCTTCTAAATTTGTGAATCTGACCATGCATCGTGTACCTACCATAATCCTACAGCAACGTCTAGTGATATACGATTTTCGTAGTTGTCATAAATTATTCCATTAGATAGCTCTACTAAATCTGGAAAAAATAAGCTACCGATTGAGCTTTGTTCCCCTCAAACATTTCAATTTCTTCTAGTTCGAAAAAACTGAATTTCACTTTGATTTTGAATGCTATAGAATATGTAGCAAAAACTTCCGATCTAGAGCATTATCGAGTTTTAAAAAAAACAGCATGAACAACAGCCCAATAAATTTATACCAGAGCTAGAATGAAAACAAAACAAAAATACCTCAAAGATTCGCCGGCAGCACAAACAGCGTTAACTATACGATCCCTAACCAACGCTTTGTCCTCATCTGACAGGCAAAAATCCACGGTTTCCGATTTATCAACAGAATCGTCATTACTCTCCAAATGAACGGTATTACATATAAATCATACCCAATTTTTCACTTGAAAATTGTATACTTACTTCCCACAAGCGGACAATAGTATTTTTGAAATAAATAACAGCAGCTTGTCGAACAGGTTCAGCAACAGACGCATCACATGCGATACTCAGAAGTTCTGGAGTGAATCCTCGTTGCTTTGAGCACTGTAAAAGATAAGTGGACACATAGAAAATTTTCGAGATTCACATTTCCAAACATCCGACTTTGGATATGAGCTTTGAATGAGTGGAAACAAATTTCGACTGAGGCAGCAGAATAGATGATGTCGTAGAATGTAATGTCGTGTAACAGAATGCTAAAGTACACGTCCATCCTTTACACTAACTAATCTGTTAACATTGAAGAGGAACTATCACTTAGAGGTACTTCTTCAAAAATATAATTATAAAATTTATAAAACGAATACCATCTTCTTCAAATGCCCTCTTGTCCAGGACGTACATGTAATAAGCAGAGATGGCAACCACACAAAAATCATGCAAACACTTGGCGATTTAGACAGCATTTCTACCATCGTTCTTTCACTAGTCCCTAGCTGGTTCTCTTCTCGTCACTCCATCATCAGCCCCAGACCGACTTCTACGTTCAGCCATTTCAGATACACCGCTATCCCTCCGTTTCGGTTTTAAAGTCAAGAACAACTAACAATTTTCCAATAAGCAACCGAGTTCCCATGACAACATAGAAGTTTACAGTGAAATCGTAGTTCGCGCTTCGTTGTGAAAAGTTGCAAAGCTCGCAAATATAGGTCGTATGTACGTATGAAAATACAACATCAGGATCAGAGTCATACGTGGTATGTGAAACAAGTACGGTTGCTACAAATTGCCAAAAACATTACCAAGCGGGAAACGGGTAAACCTTTTAATTTTATCTTTAAAAGACTAGCCTCTACTCCTCGCCTGATCCCTTCTGGATCAAAACCTTTAAAGGGCCATTACTTCGAGAGAGACTAGCCAGAGCTAAGTAGTTCATAAATGTTTGTATTTTAGGCCTGATATCGTTAGATTTATTGTCATAAATTTATAATTTGTTCATAGCATGAATTTATAGAAACAACCTAAATAACGTACTACTATTTCTAAAATGAGCGAATTCTTGGATTAAAAAAGAACAACAACAAAGCAGAAATCCCTTTACTGTGCTACACTACGATAGATCCATAGTCCACTTTGCAGAAATAGGTCAAACTGTATAGTTTTTACATCGACAACAAGATGAGATATTGCAAAAAAAAAATTCCCGAGAGGTCAAGCACTTGGAGCATGGCAAAACAATTACCCGACAATAAGGCATAAGACTTTGAGGAAAACCAGAAATTAGGACCAAAAAGGTTACAGTTAAATTTTAGCGAGAACACATCTCAGCTTGTTCATAGAACTTGTTAGCAATTTTCCCTTTCATGGCTTCAATAGCTACCTCAGCAGCTTCTGTATACAAGTTATACGCAAGTTCAAAGTTTTGTGTGAGACCACATCCGCCTTCCTGATACATCTGAGCCATTTTTGCTAACACTTCATAACGTGGAAGAACGACACCTTCACCACTATCATCATCCGTAAATCCGACTACTTTTTCGTACCACTTTATAGCATCTGGGTAACTTGGTTGTGCATTTGGACCCATTCTGCGCCCGGTTTCAAACGATTCGGCCACAAACAGCATAGCACTGCGATCTCCCATTTCCGCAGCAGTCTCCATAAGTTCAAAACCAAATTCCTCTCTATCAAAATCTTCTCTAGCTACTCCATTTTCTAAAAAGATCTGATCGTCACCAACATCTTTCAACAGATCATGCGGCATTTTGTAAGCCATTTGAGCTACAGTGATAATTGCTTCTAATACACCGCAACGTCGTGCAATGTCAAGATGGAAATAAGCAGACTGTTTGTCGTAACTGAAGGAATCATTCCAACAAATGATGTCAACGTCGGAACCATCCAGCGGATCGGCATGCTTTTCTTCATTAGATTTCTCCGGCAGAAATCTTCCAACCTCGTGATATCGCGCCATATCCAGATGAATTTGACCTAGTATTGAAACATTTTGGGTAAGCTTTGCAGATTCAGCTAGCTGCTGCATCTCCATAGCAGAGAAAACTCCAGCAGGCACTGACTTCTTTCGAGCATTAACCCAATATTCTTCTTTTTCTGTATCTCGAGTAACTCTTGACGAACTTCCCAGAGATGTCGAACCAAGTGAGCTAGAAAAACTTTCGCTACGGTTTGGTCTATCCGACAGACTACGGAAGCCGACCTTTCTCACAGGGCAAGGGAGCTCTTCTCCATTTTCATTCTCGTCTGTGGTTTCGCTAAAAGCATCACTAGCCAGCTCGGAAGTTACTTCGGCAAGACAAACATCGCAAAGACAATCGTCATCATGTACATCTCCAGATTCATGTCTGAAATCGCCCGTGGAGGAAGCACGGCTCCGCAAAGATATTGTACGCAGTCGCAAGCATTCCATTGCATCTTCCTGAATCAGCTCCGGAACAATTGCAGAGCAAGCACTAACAGTACGCGTGAAAACTGTCGACTGGTTCATATTATTGGCCCATGTACCGCGCAAAAGTTCCATACGTTCCGTTCGTGACAAATCAAACTCCGTTAAACACAGGGAGTGACAGATATCATTACACAAGTGAGAGTGAAAGAACAAAGCCATTCCCCGTGTGCCCAGATTACCGTCACCATAATCTGTGCCAAGAACTGTATGTATTTGTGGATCAGTGTAAAGGTCTCCAACTCCCTGAATATCCACCACAATCATTTGATGACCGGATCTTTCGAAGGTGAAGTGTGAGAAAGCCTGAGGTGTTTTCCGAGCAATGTCGGAAACAAAACCTGAGTTCGAGTTATATTTGATGTATTCGCCTTCAATATAGTGTTCTAGGTGGAATAGTGGCTCCGATGGCATGTCTATCATTTCGAGAACACACATTTGAACTATATCTATCTTCTTCGGGGGATCATAACGATTGAACTCTTCAGCCCACAACTTGGCATCCATCTGCAGTTTCACGTCCTCGAAAAGAACCGATCGATCTACCTCTTGAATATATCTCTTTGCTACATAGTTATGAGCAAGTTTCCAGTCGTTAACATGACTGTTAGAGGGGAGCTTCTTTAAACGATAACACTCTCGCATAGCTCCGCGTGCAAACG